ATAACTAGGAGGAACAAATGGGAGGGTCAGAAAGACAGACAAAGCCATAGTAAAAGAAAACCCCTAACAATTAGATCATTCCAAAGTAGAATGACCAGTTTCTCCCTCATTGCACAGTCTTCAAACAAAGCCTGGGTGGACCGTTGGCTTTGGGATGTTGTTTGGAGAGAGGATTCTCATTCAGCTAGGAATGGGCCAACAGGTCCATTAAGAGCTTCTGGAGTGAGGTGATGCTGTGTTTCTTAACCTCTTCTTTGCGTAAATAAATAATGAGCCCTGGGAGAGATAAGAAGAGCTGCTGAACTTTGAGAATTCACCTCAATTCAGTTCAACAAATATTTAGCCAATGCTTACTCTGGGCAAGAAGAGCTGAATCATCATCCATGTCCCATCCCCTAATCCTGGGTGTCCTACAAGGTTCTGTCCTCCATCCTCTGTCTTCCTTCACTCTTTTACCTAGTGATCTCCTTTCTCATGGGCTCAATGATCATTTCTACATAGATGACTCCCAGACTACATATTCAGCCCTAGTATCTCTCCTGGGCTTCTATCACACAATGCCAAATGTCTGCTAGAAATCTTCAGCTGGATATCTTGTAGACATCTTAAACTCAACATTTTCAAAATGGCACTTACTGTCTCCCCCCTGAAACCTGCTCCTCTTCCAAACTTTCCTCTTTCTCTGGAGGGAACCACCATACTGATCCCAGGTTCAAATCCTCCAGGTCATCATTGACTCTTTTCTCTCTCTTACCCTCACCCACCTCTTGAATTTTTTAAAAAAAAGTTATATTGATATGTTTTGTTTTTAAATAATAAACATGTATTTCATGAGAGGTCTCTTATAACACAGTAAAACAGTGAAGTAAAACTAATAGTATAGCGACTTCATCTAAAAGTATACAAAACATTTCACATCTGTAGCACCCTCTCCCCACCTCTCTATTTAAAAAAAAATGAATTAGTTTATTTTCCTCCCACTCCCCAGTCCACTGGGGGAAAAAGAGAAAATCAAATTTCTTGTATGAAAAATACATAGTCAAGCAAAACATTCCCTCATTGATTGGACATAAAAAATAGACATGTCTCATTCTGCACCCTAAATTCATTTCCCCTCTGTCACAGAAAGCAGGTTTCATCATTGGCCCTCTGGAATCATGAGTGGTTATTGTTATTAATCCTCATTTTTAGAGTTTCCAAATTTGTTTGTTTTTATGGTGCTGTTTGTCATTGTGTCCATTGTCCCCCTGGTTCTGCTTACTTCATTCTTTTTTTTTTCTTTTTTTTTTTGGAAATTGGGGTTAAGTGACTTGCCCAGGGTCACCCAGCTAGTAAGTGACAAGTGTGTGATCTGAGGCCGCATTTGAACTCAGGTCGTCCTGACTCCAGGGCCAGTGCTCTATCCACTGCGCCACCTAGCTGCCCCTGCTTACTTCATTCTTTATCAGCTTATCAAAGCCCTCAAAATTGTTCATTTCTGTAGTGTTGGTGTTATAAGGTAAATTGTTCTACTGGTCCTGCCCACTTCTTGCTGAATTAGTTCATGTAAGTCTTTCCATGTCTCTTTGAAATCACCTATTTCCTTATTTCTAATAGCGCTGCAGTACTTCATCGCAACCCCCGCCCCTCCATGTCTAATCATTTGCCAGTTCTCTCTATCCACTACATCATTTTTGCCTGTCTGCTTTCTACTTGCAGAGCCCCCACCATATTCAGGCCTTCATAATCTCTCATCTGGACAATTAAAATAACCTTCTAATGGGCTCTAGGCTTCCTATCTCTTCCCTCTCCATGTAGCTGCCAAAAGCTTCCTAAAAGTACAAGTTGGAATGGGCTACTTTTCTGTGACTCTTATTGTCTCCAGGATAAAACACAAACACCAGCTCAGTTTGACACTTGAAGATAATAATTGCTATCTTGGACATGTGGAGTTTGAAGTATCTATGGGACATCCAAGTGGAGATGTCCAGCAGGCAGTTGGAGATGCAGGACTCAATTTCAGAAGACAGAGGAGGTCTGACCCTATTGATTTTGGTATCTGCATCTGCAATTGATATCTGCATAGAGGTGATACTTGGGTCCACAGGAGCTACTATCTCCAATATATTAGAAAGAAGAGGACTCATGACAAAGGTCTGGAGGTCACTCATAGAAAAGGGGTCAGGAGATAGATGATGATCCAACAAAGGAGATTGGGAAAGTGTGGTCAGATAAGAGAAAAACTGGGAGAAAACAATATCTGTATTTCAGCACCCCAGGACAAATGTTTCATTGCCTCATCATTGTTATGAGTCTGTCTAGTATTGAGCATTGTCAGAACAGGAATAGCAGGAGGGCAAGCATCAAAGGAGTCAAAGGTGATGGACAATATAACGTTGAACTGGCCAACTATTGGGATTCTCCCCCCCTTACCCCCCCAAGTAATAGCATTTATTTATTTTCAACATTCACTTTTATAAGATTTTGAGTTCCAAATTTACCCCCCCTTCCCAAGCAATCTGATATAGACTATATGTGTACAATTATGTTAAACTTATTTCCACATTAGTCAGGTGTGAAAGAAGAATCAGAGCAAAAGGGAAAAACCTTGAGAAAGAAAAAAAAAACAACAAAAAAAGAGAGAAAATACAACTATTGGGATTCTGAAGAGAGGAAAGGCCAAATCAGGAGTAATGGATTGGGAGGCCAGAATAATGGAAGGACTATAGTTTGAGGAGAGAAAGAATTAATCTGGAAGGAGTGGGGCAGAAGGAGAGGAGATTGTCATCAGAAAAGGGAATTTCAGAGTTGAAAGTCATGGCAGGCAACAGACCTATGAGGACACCAATACAAGTATATTATCCCCATTCTATAGATAAGGGAACTAAGGTTTTGAGAGTTTACAACTGGGCTATAGTCACACTGTTAACAAGTACTGGAGGAGAAGATTTGGACCTAAATCTCCTGATTCCCCGTCTATCTCTTGACCTCAGAGAATCATACGTAGACTTAGAACTGAAAGGAACTTTCCAAGTCATCTAGTTCAAACCCTTCATTTTACAGATGAGGACATTGAGGCAAGCAGCAGTCATGTAACTTGCCTAGGGTCACACAGCTAGTAAATATCTGAGGTAAGATTTGAACACAGGTCTTCCTGCCTTGAGGCCCAGCCCCAAGTCACCTTACCCCCGTAATAAGTAGCTGATTTGAACCCAGGTCTTCTGATTCCAAATCCATTTGTCGTCCTACTGAACCAACTCTTCATCTGTTTGCTGAAATCCCTCCCTCAGGCCCAACACAGATGCTAATCCCACCATGAAGTCTTCTTTGGCACTCCCAGGCAGCACAATCTCTCCTTCCTCAAATGTATGATAGCATGTGCCTGGCCCTTTCGTTTGCACTGATATCCATCTCCTTTTTATCTGTTGTTGCTGTGTGCATCCTTTCACTGTTAGTTTGAACATTCTTGGAGAGCAGGACCTGCTCTGTGTTTGCCTTTGTGGCTCTCCCAGTGTCTGGCACAGTCAGTGCCTTGAACGTAGTTGGTACTTGGTAAATATTTGTTAAATTCATGACCGAAATGTGGCCACATCAAACATTGACATTTGTCATTTATGTGACCCAGTTTTTGACATGGCCTTTTGATATTGACCAAATTGCCATTTATAAGGTTGCAATGCAATTGCTGAAGCCAGATTTCAGACTTCATGATTTATATGATCCTTCCTTTCAGGGACAGTTTAATACCATTTTTCCACCGAGTCCTACTACAAAGCAGCCTGCTAGTGAGTTGGATGATATTAACAGGGGTTTAATTAAGCACAGATCTACGACCTGAAAACAAAATTATTTTATTGTTTGTTGTATATACGCTTAGGGACAAATCTAAACAATGAAAACCAGGTTTCTTAAGAAGAAAAATTAAAAGCAGAAGAGGAGCTCCATGGACCCTGTGGTAGAGCCAAGATGAAGCCAGAGAAAATCTGGCAGAGTCCATCCTCTCCTTGGGCCACTGTTTTAATCATCTGTTCGCAAATACCTTCAACTGCTCAGTGAACACTATTGTGTTCCTTCTCATGTGAAACAATTTACTTCCTGGAATCAAGTGGGAGAAGAAAGTCACAGACAAGGCAGCCTTGGATGAAAATGGACCCAAGAGAGAGATGTGAGCTTTCGGGTGGCTGAGCCACACTGGGACAGAAGAGATCCCATACCACTACTGGCCCCAAGGCTTAGCCATTGTGTTGACTGCCCCACCCCTCCAAATTGCATGAAGTTTTAATAAGAGCAGTTTCACTGGATTGGTAAATTTGTTATTCATATCAAATATTCAATGTTTTGGAGGAAATTGTTACACTGAAGAAACTTGTAATCACAAGAAAAATTTTCCAGGGATTTCCAGATAAAAACATTTTGAATGGAAACACTATTCAGTACATGGACACCACAGTCTAAAAAACCAAAACATTGATGAGAGAGGGCAAGAGGATTGACATGAGGACCATTAGAAAGAAATGGGTATGTTTTTCTAGAGAAGACTTGGATGGGGGTGGGGAACACCTCAAGTATTTGAAGGGTTGTGTCATGGAAGAGGGATTCATTCTGTTCTGTCTAGCCCCAGAAGGGAGAACTAAGAACAGCAGGTGAAGGTTGCTAACAGGCCAACTTGGACTTGATGTAAGGAAAAGCTTCCACACAATTAGAGGCGCCGATCTGTAGAATGGACTGCCTTGGGAGATAGTGGGTTCCCTTCTAGTCAGTCAACAAGCATTGATTAAGCACTGGCTATGGGCCATGACCTTTGCTTAATTGCAAGGAGGAGCTCTCACTGGATGGACATTTATTATGGTGGGTATCCTTTTCTGGTATGAGTTAGACTGGAAGGTTGCAAAACCTAAATTCTGAGCCTGTGAAAACCACTGACTATTACGTGGGTTTGATGCTTCAGTTATGGTGCCTGTAGGAGTTGATCCTTGGAGATGCAGAAAGCAGCTCACAATATCTTTTACTGTGCTTCACAGGGCCACAGCACTGGACCGGTATAATTTGGAGAAATCTGGCTTCACCCACGTCCTGAATGCTGCCCACGGCCGATGGAATGTAGACACGGGCCCAGAGTACTACAGAAACATGGCCATTGAATACTATGGAGTGGAAGCTGATGATCTCCCCACCTTTAACCTCAGCGAGTTCTTTTATTCGGCCGCAGAGTTCATCGACAAGGCTCTCCAAAGCGATAGGAGTAAGGAGAAGGCCTAGGGGCCCGTCTGTATATACCGTTAGCTGATGAGCCATTGGCTCTCCAAGTGCAGTAGGCACCATGGTAGGAAAACACCACAGGCAGGGAAGAATGAGGCTGCTGTATTACCAAACCACACGTGAAAGTGTCTGTCAACAAAGGATGACCGAGCAAGGCATAGGCTGGGTGGTGAAGTTTCAAACATGGCAGCCACTGATGGGCAACTGTGGGACAGAGGATGAGATGCTGTTTATCTGTATCTGATGAGTAGCAGCTTTAACTCAGAACATAAGGCTCTGCCCTAGCCATCTCCAAGACAGCAGGGGCTTGTGGGCACTGACAGAAAATGGCTGGAAACATTAATGTCTTTTTAAGTTCCCAGCCTGATGGCTGAAATTTGTTATTCACTGACCTCCGAGCAGGAGGGCTCCTCTCCAGAGTTTTAAGAGCAGTTGTATAATTGACAAAATCTGGACCCAAGGCAGCTGGCAGGTGGTTACTTCTGGTGTGGGGAAAACCGATAGGTAGCTTAAGAAGGAGCCAATGGAGAAACTTCAGGCTTTTCTGCTGACTCCCCAAACCCTTTGAACCTAGGGGGTCCCTTCCAAACTCCTAGTCACCATTTCTATCCCTGACCAACACAAACTGGAAGGCAGCTAGTGCCCTTGCTTTCTTCTAAGACAGACTGCATGTTATGGCTTTTTTTTCTTAAAGGTTTTATGCTTTGAGCTGCTAATACTCAAGTTCCCAAATCGATCAACTGATCAATCAGAAAGCATTGATTAAGCATTTCCTGTGTGTCAGGCACACATTGAGGGTATGAAGAAAATATAAAAATCATCCTAGTTGTCAGAGATTTTATGTTCCAATGGGAGAACAAGACAGGTACATGGATTGGTACATACATGATACAGAGTAGAAGGAAAGTGGACTAAGAGGGGAAAGCACTAACAAATGGGGGCAGCGGCGGGCGGGGGGACCAGGAGAGGTTTCCTGTGGGAGATGGCGCTTGAACTGTACTGAAGGAAGTCAGGGATTCTCAGAGAAAGAGATCAGAAGAAGAACGTTCTTGGCATAGGCGACAGAAAAAGCAAAGGCAGAGACATGGGAGATAAAGCATTACATATGACCCAAGTGGGCCAGGATAACTGGACTACGAAGTGTGTGATGGTGAGTGACCTATTAAAAGACTGGAAAGATGGGAAGGGACCAGGCTGTCAAGAAATATATAAACATATTTATAAATATATTTATATATATAAATATATATGAATATATATAAATATAAACTCCTCTTTAAATCCTAGAAGGAATAGTGAACCATTGGAGTTTATTGAGTGCAGGAGAAGAGGGACATGGTCAGATTTATGTTTTAGGAAAATTATTTTGGTACCTATGTGGAGGATGGCTTGAGGCAAGGAGCCCAAATAGGAGGCTATTGTAATTGTCCAGGCAGGAGGTGATAAAGGCCTAAGCTAGCATGATGGCCATGTGAGTGAAGAGAAGGGGATATTTTTTTTTATTTTAAATTATTTATTTATTTGTTACATTTTGTGTTCCAGGCTGTCTCCCTCCTTCTGTCCCTCCCAAACGTGCGCTAGAGAAGACTAACATTTGACACAATTACACATGAGAAACTATATAATACATCCTTCCATATACCAGTTTTTTCTCTAGAGGTGGACAGTATCTTTCTTCATAGGTCCTTTGTAGTTGCTTTGAATACTCATCTTGCTCAAAAGAGTTTAGTCATTCAGTTAGTCTTCAAACATTATTGCTGTTACTGTATACTGTATTCTCTTGGTCCTGCTCATTTTACTCTGCATTAGTTCATGTAGGTCTTTCCATGTTTTTCTAAAATCAACCAGCTCATCATTTCTTCCAGCACAACAGTATTCCATCACAATCATATACCACAACTTGTTCAGTCACTCTCCAATTGATGGGCATCCCCTCAATTTTCAGTTCTTTGCCACCAGAAAGACAGCTGCTATAAACATTTTAGAACACATAGGTTCTTTTTCTTTTTCCCTGATCACCTTAGGAAACAGACCTAGCAGGTCAAAGGGTAGACATAGTTTTATAACTCTTTGTGCATAATTTCAGACTACTCTCCAAAATGGTCGGATCAGTTCACAGTTCCATCAACAGTGAATAAGTGTTCCAATTTTTCCGCATCCCTCCCAACATCTGTCATTTCCTTCTATCATTTTAGCCAATCTGATAGGTGTGAGATGGTATCTCAAAGTTGTTTCAATTTGTATTTCTCTAATCAATGATGACTTAGAACATTTTTTCATATGATTAAATATAGCTTTGATTTTTTATTCCAAAAATCACCTGTTCATAACCTTTGGCCATTTATCAATTGGGGATGACTCATATTCTTATAAATTTGACAAAGTTCTCTATATATTTGAGATATGAGGCTTTTATCTGAGAAACTGTCCATAAGTTTTTTTTTCCCCAAGATGTGGCAGATGGTTAGATATGTGGAATAAGTAGTGGAAGATGACATCAAGATTGCAAAAGTTTGTGAAATTTGGAAAGGGGAGCAAGTTTTGGGGTAAAGACATGTTCTATTTTGGACATGCTGAGTTTGAGATGGTTATGGAATAGCCAGTTTAAAATATCAGCGTCAACTGTTAGTGACATGGGACTAACGCTCAGGGGAGACACTAGGGATGGATAAATAGAAGTGGGCATCGTCTACATAGAGATGATAATGAACCCATGGAAGCTGATGAGTTCACCAAGTGAGATAGTATAGAGGGAAAAGAGGACCCAGGACAGATCCTTGGGGACACCCACAACTGGTAGGCATGGCATGGATGAAGACCCAGCAAAGGAGACTAAGAAGGAGTGGTCCAGCAGGGAGGAAGACAGCACAGAGTAGACTCATAAAAACCCAGAGAAGACAGAGTGAGTATGTAGGAGGGGAGAGTGTGTTCATTGGTGCCAAATGCTTCAAAGAGGTCAAGAGAGATAAGGGCTAAGAAAAAGCCACCCTATTTTGCAGGTAAGAGATCACTGGTAACTCTGGAGAGAGCAGTTTCAGTTGGATGATGAGGTTGGAAGCCAGAGTGTTCAGAAGAGAGTGGAAGGATGTCCTGAGCACAGACAGCTTTTCCAAGGAAGTTAGGGGAAGTGAATTATAGGATGGTACCTGGCATGTGGTGAGATCTACTGAGGGTTTCTTAATGATGATGATAACAGTCCTTTAAAATCACAGGCTAGGAAGTTGATCACAAATTTTGCTTTATCATAGCTATCAACCCAGGCAAAGGCTTCTGGGTATCCATGAAGGAGAGAGCAGAGCAAAAGTCATTTATCACATATAAGACAATGTGCTACGTGGTAGATTTTGGTGGCATTTCTATGTGTTTCCAGTGACTGAAGGCATGTTGGGTTTGTTAGTACATTTATAAGCAGAGCTCAGGTTTCTATTCACTTGCCTCACTGATTAGTCCCAGTAGTCACATCTCTTGGTGGGGATGTCACATAATGGAAGGTCTCCAGTTACTAAACCTATTCATCACCGCACAAAAACTGGAAATAGCTCCTGAGGAAGCCCGAGAACCTTCATGGCTGGATCCATGTCAGGAAACTTGTGACCTACAGCAGCTAGGGCTGTCATGTAAGGTGGGTGTGAGGTTCCGCAATCACAAAGGATACCTGAGTGGTACCGACATTAGTGCTGGGCAAAATCACACACCATTTGCCAGCTTTTCAGCAGCACGATGAAAATACCATAGTACAACGGAACTGTAAGTACCACTTTAGACATTGCTAACCATAGAATGTTCCTTTAATTAAACGTAAGTGAGAGCTTTGGATCCCTAGGCAGAATCAGAAATCTCAGAGGCTGAGAAATGTGTGTCCAGGACCCCTTTGGCAGTGTTTGGTGAAGTCTATGGAGTCCTACGGCAGACAGAGCACTGGGTCTGGAGTCAGGAAGACCTGAGTTCTAATCAAATTCTCAGAAACTTACTGGCTGTGTGACCCTGGGCAAGTCACTTCACCTCTGTCTGCCTCAGTTTCCTCAACTGTAAAATGGAGATCATAATAGCACCTACCTTTCAGGGTCGTTGTGAGGATCAAATGAGAGAGTATTGTGCTAATTAGTCCAGTGCCTGGCACATTACAAATGTTTCATAAATGTTTCCCTTTCTCTCCTCTCCCTTCTCAGAATGATGCTTTTAAATATGTCAAATAAAACACATACGATTACAAAGGAAACCAGCTATTTAGAAATAAAGTTATCAAAATATGTTAAAAACAAGCTTGTGGATGCCAAGTTAACAACCTGGAAAACGGTCAGCACATCACAATGAGTGATTTTCTTTGAGAGTAGCTGGAGTCAAATTTCTCACTTGGAAAAGCCACAATAATATCAATAATTGCTAACTGTAGAGTGTTTTAAGACTTGCAAAGCACTTTCCACATCACAACCACCCAGTAAAGTGAGTAGTTCAAGTATTATTTCCTTCATTTAACAGATAAGGAAATAGAGTTTTAAGTGATTTGTTCAGTCACGGTGATAGGCAGGATTTGAACCAGGAGTCTTTGGACTCCAAGCCTGTTGCTCAAAAAATCTTTGATCCCTGGACTTTTTCAAAGTGTGTTCAGATGGTGTTAGCATGGATGATGTGGTTATACGTTTGTTAGTACAGGCACATATTTTTAAAGAGCTACATGCTAGCTTTCATTTGTTGACTGAACCTATGATTTCATTTGGCATGGAGCACTCTCAATGAGGAAATTCTCTCTCCATCCATTCTGCAATTTATAATCTGAAAGAGTTGTCTAGAACATGGAAAGAGTCAATGACTCATCCAGGGCCACACAACCAGTATGTATCGGGGAAGGACTGGAACCCAAGGTTTCTTGACTATGAGGCCAGCTCCCGAACACCACACTATGTTATCTCAAATGTCAAATATGATATTAGGCATTAAAAGAATTAGAAATTAAAAGTGAATGAAGAGTATTACAAGACTATATAAAGGAAAAAAAAATTGGAATTTGTACTAACCTCACATGGGACTCCCCCAGTGTACCCATGGAGAGCAGGCCCCTCTTAAAGGTCATTTGCATATAGAAAGAGCACTGGCATATTAACGGACTCCATCCGTTATATGTCATTTCAGGACAAAGCTGTAGTTATTCAGCATCATCAGGCTTACGGGGGAAGATGCGTCATATCTGCATTTCCCTGACTGTTAGGAGCACATAGGGTAGATTGCTGCAGGCATCCGCACGATGGAAGGGGGAAGGTGGAAGGATATATGCAGGTCAGATCAGGCATATGGTACAGGATAGATCAGCCTGCTGGCAGACAGAGAGTAGGGCTTAATGATATTGTCGGATCAAGGTCAGCATGATTTCTTTGCTCTCAGTGCCTGCAAATTAGCACTCTCTGTGGTTACCCCTTGGTACTGGCTGCTAAATATACTCTCATGATGTGGTCCGGGTCATAAGAGCATCCCGCTCATCAGCTCTAGGTTGAGTTACACAGAGGCCCAATCACAGCTCTCTTGGCTTGGGATCATTCACCATTTATTAATATTCTCTTGATGTAACAAGTGTTGATGGACAATATGTCCAAAAGGCAAGACCTTTTTCTCCCTCCCAGATTTTCGTATGATTTGCTGCTGCCCATTTTCCTTCAAGCTTCTGTATTGTTCCTCATTTGCCTCATCATACTCTCTTTGAAATGCGCACGTGGTTGTGCTGACTTATTTTTGGAATCCTCGTAAGCATGTATAGAATGTCCAGGTCATATCACTTTAGCCCAGCAGTGCATAGATTCGGAATGCCCTGATTGACATGATGGTCAGGTCACATTGCATTAGACTGAGCAGCTCCTGGATTTGGAATGCCCAGAATGACGTGTTAAAGAACCATTATGCCCATCCTAACAGCACACATTCAATATATCTGGACTGGCCAACTGTCCCAGATAATAAAAATCACTTAGGAGAATCACAGATTTTTTTCAGCTAAAAGGGAACAGGAAATTCATTTAGTTCAACACTCTTTATTTGACAAACAAGGAACTGAAACCCAAGGACATGATCCAGGCCACAGAGAGAGTGAGAAGCAGAGGCTTCTAGCTAGAACCCAGGCCACTAATGTAGAGATCTTTTCCCCATGCCATCCCCCTGATGGAAATATGAGTTTGTTAGATTGAGCCCAATGCTCTAGCTTTTCAAGATTTTTTTTTTTTTTTTGGTATCCTGACTCTTGTCATCCAATGTGCTAACATCTCTCCTTTAGGTCTGTGTCACCTGCAAATCTGATAAGAATGCCATCCATGTCTTTATCTGAGTCACTGATAAAAATGTTAAATTGTCAAGCATAGATTCTTGGGGCAGTCCTTTGAAGACTGCCTTCCAAGCTGGTCTTTCTCTAAGGTTCTTTTTACTTTGGTTGGTGGTACACAGAAATGAAGAAGAGGCCAGAGGCTTTTCATTTTATAAAAGTAAAGAAATTCACCATAGGTCTTAGTCCTGAAGCAAAATGCTTCATTTAGACCCATTACAGCAATTCTAAAAGGTTCAGGATCTTACCAAGGCCTATCTGGTAACTAAATCATGCAGGATCTTGTAAGATCTTTGAGCAATCAGGTGCCCTTTGGGGCAAAAAGGGAAATCATTGCTTCCACATAATTCTGGGGTGAAGTAGGTAATCCCCTGGAATAGGCTTTAGAGATCAGGGATGTTTGTATAGTGCCTGTCAGCTTACAGAGTGCTTTATATACATGATCTCTTCTGATCCTTACAATAGCTTAGTAAAGAAAAGGTCACAAAATTCCTGACTGGCACTGAAACCCAGGTCTCTACCCTCTCAGGTCAGGGCTGTTTCTACCGTATCATGCTGCTCCTAACTGATTGTTTCCATGGCCAATAAACTGGGGGGTGGGTGGGGAGGGGTGTGAAAGAGATGTTCTGCAGGCCTAATCCAAAAAAGTCCTCGGATCTTGGGCCAAATCCCCAGCTGCCTCTGAGGAGACAGGCCCTTTGTTCCCAGGAGATCAACACAGCAAACAGCAGAGGATAGTATTAATACCCTTCTCTCCAAAACAAAGTTCAGCTCCAGGGCCTAATGTTTAAGTTTTCCTTCTCTCCCTGTGGATCCCCCGGCCACTCCTTCCTATGCTAAGAGCTCTTGTTAGCAGAGTAGATGGCTAAATGAACTGCAGTTTTCATCTGTTTCAAATATTGGGTCATGACAAAAAGAATTACCCTTTTTTTCCACGAGAGGAAGAGGTGCTCCAGTTATGGGGGGCCCCTGGAACAATCTAGGGGATTAAGAAGGAAACTGAAGCGACTCATTCTTGGAGCTGGGCTTGTCAGTTACCCAGCTCTAGGGTCCATATTGAGAACTAGACCCTAGAGGTTCTGTCCCTGCCCCAAGTCCCTGAATCAGGGAGTTACTGGCTAGGAATAATCTTGTCTCCTACCTGAGCAAAGAAATGCCCAGAATAAAAGCAGAAAAAAGATTTGGCTACATTGGTAATGGAATAAGAAACTGACCGCTTTGAGGTATTTATTTTGGCAGAAGCTGGTCAGCTTGAGGGGCTAATGTAAGGCACTGGAAGGGGAATCCTGGAAAGGCGATCAGAGAGTTCTGGGCTATGTACAGGAAGGTTCTGCTCAACGGATGCCAAACACACACACCAAAGCATTTACATCCATAGATATATGCTTGTATAGCACACACATAATGAATACGCTAGTATTTATAGAGTGAAGTCTTCTATATGTAACAATGAAGTCAATGACCCCCCCCCCCCCCGCCATTGTTAATATACAGCCCTGGATAGAGGTGTTCTGGTAAATGTTTAATAACTAGTTCTCCAAAAAAAAGTATGCATGACACATTTTAAAATTTAACCTGCATCATTAACTGCTTTTGTTCTCCATTGCTTTCTTAAGTCTAGACAATCAACAAAACAATTAATCAAGCTCTGATTTGTAGCATTTGCTGATTTCTGAAGCATAAATGCTCACAATGAACATGTAACAACCTTCTCTCATGAGCTGGTCAGAGATGGCTCTTGCTCATCACTGAATAGGTCTGAAACTGCATGAAAACCCCAGAATTCATCATGTCCACCCCCCTCATGCAAATGAAAAAACTGAAGCTGGGAGGTTAAATGACTTTCCCAAGGTCTCAAAGTAAGTATCAGAAGTGGGATTTGAATCCAATCTTCTGACCTTGAAGCAGTGTTTTCTCCAGTAAACGCTTTTTAAAAGCTTATTGATTGATTTTGGTTTGTTTTGCCTGGGTTAGTGACAGATCTGTGCTGATCAGTTGTATTTCTTTGCCCAGTTCTTTGTAGAATTTGAGAGAACTGTAAGGGACTTTGGAGATGTTACAGCTTAACATCTTCATTTGGCAGGCGAGGAAATAGGCTCAGAGAGACGAGGCGATCTGCCCAAGGTCACACAGCTAGGGAGTGGAGCTGGACCCAGAACTCAGGTTTCCCAGCTTCTGACAGACGACTCTTTCCGTGACATTATCCTGTCTCTCCTGAGATTGACACTTGTGACTGTCAACCAAGGTGAGGGCTTGGGATCCCTAGCATAGCCAAACACAAGAACTAAAGAAAGTCTGCCTGGGGGGGAATGTTCTTCCTCACATTCAGTTGCCAGTCTTAATCCAGCAGCTGTGGAAATACTGGAGGGGGATCACACCTGGCCCATCCATTTCACCCTCTCCCATTCCTTGAAGAGGATGCCAACGTCAGTGACTGTCACAAAACTAAGGAGTCCTCGGTGAAAGCCGACGGCCTCAGAATCAGGAGAATCTGGGTTCAAATCCCACCTGATTAGCTGTGTAACTATAGGCAAGTCACTGAGCCCAAGTCCCAGTTTCTCTTCCATAAAATGTTAATAATAATGCCAGCAGTCCCTGCCTCATAGTATGGTTGTGGGGCTCAAATGAATAAATCAACATAAAATGCTTTGTAGAGCTAAAAGCCTATATAAATGCCAGCTATTATCAATAACAATAGCATTGATAGTATTTGGCATTTAAAGTTCTTTTTTTCAAAGATTTTTTTGGCATTTAAAGTTCTTGCAAACTGACCCTATCCTACCATTCCAGGATTATTACACATTACTCCCCTTCATATATTCTACAGCCAGCCACCCACCCAAACTGACCCCATTGCTTTTCCTTACACAGGACACGCCATCTCTGCTTTCTTTGCTTTGCACTGACAGTTCCTCATGCCAAGAATGCTCTCCCTCTTGAACTCTATGTTATCACTTTCTGTATGGGCTCTTTCTTGGTAGCCCCAGATGCTAGTACCTTCTCCCCAGGTTGTCCTGTATCTCTCTTGAAGGTTTTAAAATTTGTATACTTATATGTATATATACACATATGATATATATGTGTATATATGCATGTACACACAAATACATATATATATATATATATATATATATTTGTAGATATATATCTCAGAAGCAGAGAGATTCTATGAAAGATATTCTTGCTAGGGCCTTCAATTGAATATATGCTCCTTGAGGGTAGGAATCATTTTGGTTTTGGTTTTGTAGCCCTAGCATCTAGAACAGCGCCTGGCATTGCAGTTAGTGCTTAATATTTGTTGATTGATTGATATGGTTTCCTAGCACAGTAGTTTGGAAAACCTTACTTAGAAGTTGTTGAGGGGGGCAACTAGGTGGTGCAGTAGAGAGAGCAGCGGACCTGGAATCAGGAGAACCTGAGTTCAACTCTGGCCTTAGATACTTAACACTTATTAGCTGTGTGACCCTGGACATTTCACTTAAATCCAGTTGCCTCACCCCCCCAAAAAAATGTTAAAAAAGAAGCTGTTAGGGAGGTGAGAGAAAGGGATTATTTGCAAGGCTCTTTCTCTAGTTTTCTGATATGTGTGGCTTTTTTCTCCTCTCTCCTCTTTCTGCAGATAAGATTCTAGTTCACTGTGCTATGGGCCGGAGTCGCTCAGCTACCTTAGTCTTGGCATACCTGATGATTTACAGGAACATGACAGTGGTGGAGGCCATTGAACAAGTCGCCAAGAATCGCTGCGTTCTGCCCAATCGTGGGTTTCTCAAACAGCTCCGGGAACTGGACAAACAGCTTCTCCTCCAAAGGCAGAATGCTCAGTCTAATGAAGAAGAGAACTTGGAAGAGAAAGAAATCTAAGGCTTGAAGACCCCTTCACACACAGTTGCCCCCAAGTACTTTGCACTGGAGAAACATATTTTTAAAAAGGCAAACAAAAAACCCAATAGTCCCTTAAAGTTCTTTGGCACAAAGAAGGAAAACATGGCAGTGAGCCATTATTTCCCCGGAATAGTTTTGAGCATCACAGAGAGCACCATGGAGCATTTTAGGAGATCATATAAAACCTATACTCCCTAAGCTGCTACCTTTTAGGGTTTAAATCTTTGTTTCACAGTAAGAGGAAAAGGCAAAGGATTTTATAGTGGAATTGGTTGCAGATGAGCATGTAGTGCTTTAGTGAAACTATATCAGTCTGTAATGGGGAGGTGGGAATGACTGGAAAACACAGAAACCGTGCTATGATTCAAACTTCTGGTCCTGTCTTGGAGGAAAGGCACGTTTTCCCTTAGAACATTTCTTTTTTTTTAACAACACAAATTTTATAGCAACCAAAATGTGGGCTTATGGCATTAGGGGTGTGTTATGAGAGTGTTATGTTAACACATCACCTCCTGTGGGTATTTCCTGATTTCTCTTTCCATAACTCTGTTCATAGTACCGAGCACTGTCCTTTCATCATCTCATCCTGGACCACCCAGGATCTGTTCTAGGCTTACCCCAGCATTCATTAATGCGACCTTTGGGGAGTGATTACCTGAGCAGGCCGATGCACATGCAAAATGGCCCTTTCCAGAATTTACAACCTAGCTTCCTAATGCCTCATCTGATAGGCCTGACACAAGTACCCAGATTCACTTCACCTCTCTATAGCTACAAAGAACAGATGAGTCTGAAAGGGTCTGGGTAGAACAAAAGCAAGAACAGGGACCGTCTGTCAATTTTTTTTTTTTTGAGAGATCTTTTCCTATCCCACACATGGAATCATATATTAGAGCTGCAATGGATCAAGTACATCTAGTCCAATTTTCTTACTTTACAGATGAGGAAACTGAGGCACAGAGAGTATAGTTTGCACAAGGTCAGATAGTTAAATTGGTGCCATAGTAATTACTAGAACCTAGATCTCTATTTACTTTTCCCATTTTACCACACTGCTTTTCTTAAAAACGTGTTAGCATTAAATTAGTAGCAGGGGCAGCGAGGTGGTGCAGTGGATAGAGCACTGGGCCTGAAGTCAGGGAGACCCAAGTTCAAATCTGGTCTCAGACACTTACTAGCTGTGTGACCCTAGGCAAGTCTCTTAACCCTTTCTGCCTCAGTTTCCTCATCTGTAAAACGAGCTAGAGAAGGAAATGGCCAACCACTCTAGTATTTCTGCCAAGAAAACCCCAAATGGGTCAGACACAACTGAAAAACAACAAAAATTAAGATTAGGAGCTCAGAAACCTGAGATCTAGTCTTGAACTATGTCTCACTTAACCTCTCTCAAGTAGGTAAATTCCCATTTATTTCATCTTCAACTTTTCAGTGCCTAGAAAGAATATCTCTTGTAAGACTTACAAGAAGTGATGCAAAGTGAAGTGAACAGAACCAGAAGAACAGTGTACATAGTAACAGCAATATTGTATGATGATCAACTGTGCAGCCTTAGCTATTCTCAGCAATATAATGATACAAGACAATGCCAAAGGACTCATGATGAAAAATGCTTATCCACCTCCAGAGAAAGAACAGATGGAGGAGTCTGAATGCAAATTGAAGCAAATTTTAAAAAAAGGAAAAAAACCTTTTCTTTTTTGGTCTGTTTTCTTTTGCAAAATAGCTAATATGGATATATTCCCCATCTCTACACATTGTATAACCTATATTAAAGTGTTTGCCTTCTCTTCCCAATGGGGGGGAAACATGCAGGAGGGAGGGACTTTGGAACTCAAAAATTTTAAAAACAAATGTTAAAAAGTTTTTACATGTAATTGGAAAAAAAATAAAATATTAAAAAAATAAAAATATTTTTGTAGAAGTTCTCTGCCTCATCTATGAGCTGGAGACAATACTTACACTACTTACCTCACAGAGTTGTTGTAAAGAAAGTACTTTATAAAACCTAAAGCACTATATGAATGTGAATTGTTATTATTAATTAATTTTACTAATAATGAGTTGCTTGAAGGACAGGATTGATGCTGGAATGGTACAATTTAAATTTTAATGTCCTTTTTTCACTCACTGTCTACAGGACCACTCTAATCTGCTTGGCAGATACACCCTATTTTACTAAGAGTTCTGGGATGGGTTGGCTATAAGCTAGAATATGGAAGAATTCTATACAGTGGAAGAAATAACCAAAATCTAGAAGAATCAGAGGGAGGTCTAGACCTACCTGGATAAAGCCCCCTGCACCAGACACCCCAAAAGCTTTATCCAATGAGACACAAATAGATTTGGGATTAAAATTTTTAGCTGCTGATCTGAGAACTACCACCTAAAGGTTGAAACATGAAATAAATCTAATATATCTAATCTATATTTAATATAATCTACATCTTAGACCTTGGACCTACAAATTTAGGAGAAAATGGGAAAGGGCGGGGAGGGACTTATGGAAACTGGAACTCTGCATAGAAGTGCAATGAGTCAACCACAAAGGCTGGCTTGTCTTTTGTAAGTGACTATACCCTAAATTACATCTTTGTTAAGTAAGCGGTAAAGTCATCTTCCTGAATGGTAAGTAATTCGGTTAAGAACGTTTAAGTGCCAGTCAATTTCCTTTCTGCACGCAAATATGGCGACAGTGACAGTGCAGTTGATAACAGATATCAGGGATTTCAATTCAGATGAAACACAACGAGACGCTATCTGGGATGCCATATTCGGAGACAGAGACAAGATGTGGAAGAAAGCATACCCTATGATAACAACTTTTTTTTTAAAAGGCTGATAACCCAAGAAGAAAACGGGACCTTTCCTGAAACAGGGAGAACGTAGCCAAGTATAAAATGAGTTCCTGATGGTGGGATTTGGATTGAACTTACATGCAGTCAGGCACATCTTTGGGACTTTGGGGCAGACCTTTGTGGTTGGTTGGTTCTCAGAAGGGAAAAAACAACAGAGACCTGAGCCCCAGGATACTCTGATCTGTAATCTGCTCTCCTAGGAAAGGGCCTGACCTGATGAGGGGCACATATAATGCACCTCAGTGTCAACACACAGGAAAAGGGTGTTAATACAATGATTCTATGAGAATACTGGTTTAGTAATAATTTTAAAAACAGAAATTACTCTGTAAAAAGTCCCAAATTGAAAGCCAAACATCATGGTGAAATGAAAATTTGAATATGCACAATAAACCAGTAACTCTTATATGAATCTAAAAGGGGAAATGCTGACTAAAATCTGTCAAATGTTGGTGGGCATGGGAATAGTTGGATAACACATGATAACCTTATCAGGATGTCTACAGAGGAAAAAAAAGAAACTTTTAACTAATGATGAAGTATCAAATTATTAAATAAGGTCAGGATAAGTTAAAGCTGAAAACTGTCTGGAGAAGGGAAAAATAAGCCTGAACACTTTAATACCCTAACAACCCTAAACAGATTGAAAGTGGTAGGATAAAGAAGGCTCACTGGAGTTAAAGGGAAAAAGTCTGAGTTGGAGCCAAATTTTGCTGTTTGCCAGCTATGTGACCACACACGTCACAGAACCTCTATGAACTTCAATATCCTCACAAATGAAATGGCAATATCTACTTTTTATGGGCTGTTGTGAAGAAAATAGGTAGTAAACTTCAACTACAAAGTTGTGGTGATGCCATAGCGCACAGAATACTCCACCTGGGGTCAGGAAGACCCGAGCTGAAATCCAGCCTCAAACATTGTGTGACCCTGAGCAAGTCACTTAACCTCCTCCTGCCTCAGTTTCCTCATATATAAAATGGAGATAAGTAATGGCATCTACCTCAAAGAATTGTTGTGGGGTTGAAATGAGATATTTGTAAGGTGCACTGCAAACCTTACAAATGCTATGTAAATGCTAGCTACTATTAAATTTTTAAAAAATATATGTATCTTGTTTAAAAGAAATGGAAAAGAGAGGAAGGGAATTGAGGCTTCATGTCTATCCTGGGTTCTACTAGCCCTCTACCCTTGAGATGGCTTCTGAGGTCAACTCTCTACTCCCCATTTGTGCAGAGGAACACAGTCCCGAAGGAAGATGGGAATTCCAGAGTACCTTCTCCTTCTGCGGTGAGTTGTGGACTTAAGTCAGCTAAGCAAATAAAGGAGTAAAAACATCAGCTCTAAAGGCTTCATGTCCTTCACATTTACACGTCGTACTTCCCATTCTCCCATCTTATCCACCCCCAGAGGGCTTCTGTCTTTATATCCCCAGTGCCTGGCACAGCATGTGGCATACAGGAGGCACTTAATACATGCTTGTTGATTATAAATGTAGATTAGCAATTGTTCTCAACTTAGTCAAGAGAAGTGGCATGGGGGCATAAAGCAAAGTGCTCAGGGTCACACAGGTAGGGAATGTCAGAGATGGCATCTGAGTCCATATCTTCAAAAGTCCAGCAATTTCACCATGATAGGATTATACTTCAATGACAACATGCAAACATGTATGGATCTGCCATTAGATACATGTGGCTCCAAACACCCATCTGTGGCTTTTTATTTTGAGATCACTCAAAAAAAATCCTAAATAGCAATGAGTCACAATGACTTTCTTTTTTTTTTTTTCCTGTAGCGTAGGTTTTATTTGTCCACAAATATTTCAAAAAAATTACAAAATACTCAAATGGAGAGAACACAGAAGTCACGATTTCTGGGTTTCTACTCTGTTTACACTGTGTTATCTCATGGCAAACTACTCATATGTACATTAAACTTCCAGATATATATAAATGTAGCAAATCAGAGTGGACACTGCACGTGAGGCCGCAAAACATTGAACAAGATATGTTTGAAACACATAACAAAAAACAAACCTGAAACTTCAACTGAAAAGAGGGTGAATGAATCCCAAAGGAAACCATGTGTCTGGGTCACAATGACTTTCTACACTGCAATGGATAT